GTTGTGCCTTAGTAACTTCTTAACTTCTTGAGAAGAAGTGTCATCTCTTCTTCCAAATCTTATTTCTTTGAGATCAACATTCTTCTGGTTTCTTTATATGTTGAAGGAACATCATTTCCCATTAGTGCAATTGTAGGCCCTTCACATGTAGCCTCTTTCTTGTCTAGTATCACCATGTCGTATTAATGGTCTTTGAGGTTCCAAAAATGTGTTGATGGTGGAGAATTCCTTGCTACTATTGATGGTTGTTATCTCACAATGCGTGCAATGTTTCAGCAGCACAAACAACTCAACCAATATATTAGTACATAAGGTTTCCATTTGGCAATGGATTGACACGGTAGCATCTCAAAAGAATAAAACTTTAGAACAACAATGTGATTTTATGTGTTTTGGTAATCGAAAATGACCGATCTACTTTCTAACCTAGAACAGTTCGCTGTTGATTTATGTAAAACCTAATCGGTGACTCTATTAGATAATACAACAGATAAAAACACAATGTGGAATTTAAAGGGCAGAAAGTACACGACACAAATATTGGTTACCCAATTCGATACATAGTGTATCTACATCTGGGCGACAATCATCAATGCGACCAATTTACTATCTCTAACTCCAATTGTACCGAAAGGTAGATATGAAACAATCTCACCCAAAGTGGTCCCTACTCGGTCAGTACCCAGTCTACAATAGAATAGTGAATTGTTGAAGACGGAGATTTAAGCAATCAGAAGTCCAAGAATCCATTCGTTGGAGAGCCACTATGTTGCAGCCCGCTTCAATGACACATCCTACACTGTTCCCACAGTTGCATGATCTTTGCATCCATATATTTAAGCATCAATGTTTTCTTCTCAAGTTCTTCTTCGTAAAGCTTCAGTACATATGGTCTTGAGAAGAGAATGAATCAGAGTTATTCTGGTTGAGTATTGGGAGAGATAATCAGTGATTGAAGTCGATGTAGAGTTGTATGTAAAACCCTTGAATCTTCTCCCTTTATATAGAACTCTGATTGAATATAGGTACCCCAGTAATCTTAATTTGAATCTCATGTAACCAGATTACTATCTTATCCTTTGAGGTGAAAATACTGATCAGGGACTTTCTTGAAAAGACTCATCTTGAAGTAACTGATTCTGCCAACACATCATTATTTACTCGGAGAAGTCAAACGGATATATTCAAGACGCTCTGACGTAGAGTTTGCTCGATTAGGTCTTCACTTTAAAAACTGACACACTTATAATAAAACCTGTTTAATTTTGCCAATTACAAATTGAGGTTTAGACTTAAAACACTAACAAACAATATTAAACTTATTCTCCCTGATTTTTTCATTTCCTATGTAGAGTTTAATAAACTTGTCTCACAGTTGCTTCGCCGTTATTGTGTGTCCTTTAACTTTACTGAAGATGAACTTATCTAATATCTTCATGGTCCCATTCTTCGTGTCGTTATCCAACTTGGTGAGAATGTGGTATTCTTTAATTTGATCCAATCCTCGTAGGTAGAGTTTTACATTATACATTATATACGGCGGTTATACGTATAACCGGCATATATGCCAATGTGTATTAAGTGATGTAAGTATATATTAGAAGGCGGTTATTTAAAAACCGCCGTATATTAAGTGATGTAAGTATATATTAGAAGGCGGTTGTTTAAAAACCACCGTCTATTAAGTGACATGAGTATATATTAGAATGCGGTTATTTAAAAACCGTCGTCTATTAAGTGACGTAAGTATATATTAGAAGGCGGTTATTTAAAACCGCCGTGTATTAAATGACGTAGTATATAATAGAAGGCGGTTATTTAAAAACCACCATCTATTAAGTGACGTAGTATATAATAGAAGGCAGTTATTTAAAAACACCCGTCTATTAAGTGACGTAGTATATTGTAACACCCCGAAATTTTTCAACTTTTTAAGATTTATATAATAGAGGTAAATTCTCATTAAATCCCAAAATATAACATAAGAGTATGGGGTGCTATGCCACACCTGAGTTAGAGAACTCAGGTGCACAGGCTAACTAACTAAAATCCTCAATAATGTCAATACATAAGCATGACACGCAGGCCGAAAGGGAAACTATCTACTCTACACTCCAACTCTCTAGCGCGCTCCAGTGTCTACTCATCTGTGCCTGAAAGCCAAATATATCTGTTCAGCGAGAGATGCTGGTAACCCACTCCAACGCGTTGAAATACATTATAGATAGATATGTATAGATATACAAAAATCGTTTCGAAGCAGGAAGATATATACTTAAGAGACACTAGTTTTAAAACCAGGAATAAACTAAGCAAATAGGGATAAGCACATCAGACAACAATAATAACATCATAAGGAATACGCATTTACGGTCACAAGCCACTTCTCAATTCCAGTCCACATCATCATCCAATCATCATTCATATCACATAATCATTGATGGCGCCATGGGACCAATCGCATGCCCCGAACAAGAGGGTTAATGCCTATAGCATTAACCCGGCCCCGCAGCACCCTACCTCAGTACCGCGGTACGAGGGGAGTTGATCGCAACCAACCCTTTTAGAACCGCTGACGAACTCAACGTCGGACCACGATCCGACACACCGCTGACGCGCCCAGTCGGTGGACCGTGATCCCCTTTAAAAGGGGGGACTTACGACCCTACACACCGTTGATGCGCACAATCGGTGGGCCGTAGCGGATCAAGCCCGACACACCGCTGAGCTAAACTCAGCCGATGGGCAAAGATCCTCGGAGACTACGGTCCTATATACCGATGTCCCACCACTCGGTGGATCGCAGCCAGCCGTAGCCCTACACACCGCCTGATTACTCAGGTCGGTGGAGTACAGCCTTCCTCGGCTTGTTGGCCTTACACTCCGCCTGGCGCGTCCAGGTCGGTGGGTCATATCACCGAGGCCCATATGGACCTTCAGTCCTATACATAATCTTTATATACCTGACCGGTCTCTACCAGCCTGGTTAACAGTTGGGATGGTTCTCAACCCATTCAACTGCCCGTATAGTGGACCTCAGTCCTATATCATATTAATATCCCTGACCGATCTTAACCAGCCTAGTTAACAGTTGGGATGGTTCTCAGCCCATTCAACTGCCCGTATAGCCCAATTGGTCTTAACCCAGTTGGGGTCATGCATCACGTAACACACAATAGCACATAATAACACATAATTCACATAGGGAAGGGGGAGACAAATAATTAAGCTTACATGTGATCATTCACACACTAAGAATAGTTCCTAAGGGCTCATCTAACTTCCACCTAGGTCCACGGGTTACCAATTCAACTAGCATGCAATTCCTAAGACTCGTTTAACCTACAAATGGTACCCGAAATTCCAAACTAGACTCAAGCACGACAAACGGGGTCCATTGGGACACCATGGGGAACGGGGAACATCAAACGGGGAAGCCGGGGACCCGGGGTGGGGTATGGACCAGCGGGTAGGCTGCCCGCCGGTGAGCACTGTTCCGGGCAGCGGGTAGCCGGCTGCCCGGTGGCTGCCCGCTGCCGGGCTGTGCCCTTTGGGTAGCGGGTTGGTGGTGGGTTCCCCTACCCCCACCTACCCCCCACTGACCCATTCATCATAAATTCGTCCCGGGATCCTTTGTGGAACCTGAAACCATGCTTAGACACTTTTAAACGCAAATAACGACATCACATAAGCAATTAACGGATCAAAAGCAAGAATCATGTAGGACTTATCCTATCACGGCTTAAATATGAACACCACCCAATCATGCGAATTCCCTCCCAAATATAAATCAAGAACATCCTCAATACAAATTCCCAATCCAACCTAGGGCTCTAATCCCACCCAAATCATCAGGAACATGTTTTATTTTTAACATCCAGAAAATATCAAGATTCGTCAAGAATCATCAAATCATAATCAAGAACTTCTTTCTAACATCAAGGTCATCAAGATTCTCAAGAAGGCATATAAGTCATCTTATCAATCATCAAGAACATAACATAATTGTCATAGAAGAATTCAATCAAGACACAAGAATATAGAGGGAGGCCAAGGAAGGAGATTATAGCGAAGAAAATAGGTTTTGTTGAGACATGGGTTACCTCTTAGCCTTAATTAATTTCCTTGGCTATGAAGGGTCTTTCTTTAAGATTTCTCCTTTCTTGATTTCTCCTAGGGGAATTCTTGGAACTTCTTGTGTGGTGAGAGATTATTTGTGGTGTGAGTTCTAGGTGCCTCCTATGTCCCTATTTATATAATTAAGAGTCCTATTTAGGGTCTAAGTGGCATGGGTTTACTAATCCTATTTCTTATAGGACTAAGGGGTTGGCTTTTAGGGATAATGGGCCCATGGACCATGGTGGACCATATTAATTAATTAAAGGGAATCCTAACCAAATTAAATCCTTTTTAATTATTATTAACGGGATTAAAGGCCGTAACACGGGGTGTTACATATATAATAGAAGGCGGTTAGTTAAAAGCAATCGTCTATTAAGTTACGTAGTATATAATAGAAGGCGGTTATATACAAAACCGCCGTCTATTATGTGCAGTAGTATAACAACATATATTAGAAGGCGGTCATTTAAAAAACTGCCTTCTATTAAGTGCCGTAGTATATCATTTCTGTAGTAGTGTTTGGAACCCTAATAGGTGTTGGTGGTTGATCTTTTTCCTCTTCTTGTGATCTTGGTTCGGATGGTCCTGCTCATGGAGTTACTGGTGCTGTGTTGATCTTTTCTATTCTGATTGGTCCATTATATTTCCAATGACATCCCACACCCGTCAATGTATTATTGAGAGATTTATTTGGAGTCTTGTCTTCCATTCCTCAAAATATTTATGTGAATAATTTGGAATAAGATCCAAACTTTTGAACATTTTAAAAATTTAGCTACGATACAAATTATATTTTGAAAATAGTTTTTGAGAACTGCTCAAGATGACCAATTAAAATAAATATGAATGAAATTATTAAACTTTATTTTTTGGTATAGAGTTTGCAAATGATGTGTTGGTGGGCAGAAGATCCAAATTGCGATGAGTTCAAATACCATCTTGCTAGACTTCTTGAGTATTTATGGGTTGCTGAAGATGGAATGACGATGCATAGTTTTGGGAGTCAAAATTGGGATTCCACTTTTGCCACCCAAGCTATAATTGCCAGTGGCATGGTAGAAGAATATGGAGACTGCTTGAAAAAGGCTCAATTCTATATCAAAGAGTCACAGGTATGGTAAAACATTTGATCAAAATATAGCAAGTTTTAGCTATACAATCTGGGACCTAAATTTCCAGTTCAACTCCCTTTAACACTAATAACAATAATATACAGGTAAAAGAAAATCCAAAAGGAGACTTCAAAAGCATGTATCGTCGTTTAGCAAAAGGATCATGGACATTCTCTGATCAAGACCAGAGTTGGGGTCTTTCCGATGGCACAGCAGAAGCTCTTAAGGCATTATACTTTTATTCATTCAGGCAAAAACTTGTGTAAGACTATCTGACGAATACTTGTCCATGAGACGGGTCAGTTCAGGATAAAAATGTAATAATTGAATTGAAAAATGTAATATTTAACAGTAATAAATGTTTCTTACTTATAAGGGAAAATATAATACTTTTGAAGAATAATGTAAAAGTATTATAGTTTTCTTCAACAGTATTACTCTTTTCCTTATAAATAAGAAATACTTTATTACTGATTAGTATTACATTTTTCAATATAAGCATATTATATTTTCATCTTGACCAACTAGTGTCACGGACAAGAACTAGTGAAATGATCTCACTGGAGAGTCACACATTTATTCAAGGCTATATATGGAAATGACTCTGTTAAACAAAAAGAAGAAAAAAAAAAAAAAAGAAATCACCTTTGTGAACTTTTAATTTTTTGCAGTGTCTGCTATTCCTTGGGCAAATGCCTCCAGAAATGGTAGGAGAAAAGGCCGATGCTCAGTGCTTGTATGAAGCTGTAGACTTTTTACTTTATCTTCAGGTAAGACTTTCCTAGTTAGCTTTCCACTAAGTGCCAATGCCAACATTACTGATTACTAATTAACATTATATTTTTACATTGAAGAGTCCCGACAATGGTGGATTTTCTATCTGGGAGCCAGCAGTTCCGCAACCATATATGCAATTGTTGAATCCCTGTGAATTCTTTGCAGATATTGTAGTAGAGAGAGAGTAAGCTATGATCACAATTATTCCTTCACACCATATAAATAAAATGACTAATCAGCTTCATACTAACTATTGGATATAATTGTGGATTAGGCATATAGAACCTACAGGAACTATAATCAGTGCATTTTCAGCCTTCAGATGTCAATATCCAAATTATAGACCAATAGAAATAGATCTGTCTATTGCAAAGGCAGTACAATGGCTTGAAAATCAACAAGAAGCAGATGGGTCATGGTATGGGTACTGGGGAATTTGCTTCCTCTATGGCACTTGCTTTGCCCTATCGGGTCTGGCAGCTGCAGGAAAGAATTACGAGAATAGTGAATCCATTCGCAAAGCTGCTCACTTCTACCTATCTAATCAGAACATAGAAGGTGGCTGGGGGGAATGCCTTGAATCTTGCCCAAGCATGGTACGTACATCAGTAGTTCACAAAGTCTCAAATTAAGGCTGGTTTACATTTCAATGCCTAAATAGATTAACGTTCATATTAGAACACCCCTAGAAGGTGAGTACAAACTTGAATGCACAAAACCTACTACAAAAATGTACAAATGTAATAGATTGTGTGCATTTACGTTGATTCTCACGTTCTCACATAAGGAGGTGTTCTCACTAAGCATATATATATATATATATATATATATATATATATATATATATATATATATATATATATATATATATATATAGATGTGTATTCAAATGAGGACAAGTATATTATAGAGGACTGTGAGGACAAATGTAGTGTGTGTCATTAACCGGTATGTCGTGTGCATGGCCGAATGTAGTCGTGTGCCACAGTTTGTCTGTCGCGTGCTAGATTTGTTAATTTATAGTGCCTGTGTTCGAAACCTGATGTTTACATTTATTCTTGTGTGCCATTATGTATTTAGTTGTGTGCCTGGTATTAATTTGGTGTGTGCCCATTATTTGTCCTCACAGTCCTCTATATATTGTTGTCCTCATTTGAACTCAACCCTATATATATATATATATATATATATATATATATATATATATATATATATATATATATATATATATATAAAATTTTGTTAATGAAAAAATGGGTGAAATTGCAACCTTTGATCTCATCCAACTCAACGCCTCTAAATGAAGAAAAATAAGGTGAAATTTTGGTAATTTTTTTCAACTTTGATGTGCACAGATTTATACTACAAAGTGCATAACTTATACACTACATGTACATAAGTTTATACTTCTAGTGCAAAGAGTAATATGAGTTAAAATAATGAAGTGACATTTTGGTAATATTTTCTAAATTTAAAGTGCACAAATTTATATACACAAAATACACAAGTTTTATATTACAAGTGTCTATAGTTTATACAACAAGTATATCAGACCTTAGGAGAGAAACAAAAACCAATCTCAGACTTACATCTGAAAAATTAGACGGATCAGATCATCTTTAAAAAAATGAGGGGACATTTCCGTAATTATCACTATCTTTACTATGCAAACACTAGAATATGCAATTCTCAGACTTTTTAGGTTTAAACATATAGTATTAACATTTTGAATATTTATCGCTGAGTTTTGGGTTTTATTTGGTTTAGTGGTTCACTTTTTACTACTTAAGGTCTAACATTTACGGTTTAGATTTAAAATTTAGGCTCTTCGTTGATTTTATAAAATTTTCCAAGTTTGCATATTTAGTTAAGTGTTCAAGTTTGCATAATGAAGATGATGAAAATTATGAAAATGCTACCACATATTTAATACAACCTTAACATTTGTCAAATTCTTGCTCTGCTATTGTTAATTTTATGGAGCAGAAATACATACCGTTGGAAGGGAATCGTACAAATTTTGTACAAACAGCATGGGCAATGCTAGGACTCATGTACAGTGGACAGGTTAGTACTGTTTAGTGAAATCTAGCTAATACTACCCTTAGATGCATGTATGCTCAAAGAACAACTAATGTAATTAAGGGTGTTTGTTGTCCTTTTTTTTTTTTTTTTGGAAATTATGTATTTCCTTGTTAACTAGGCTGAGAGGGATCCAACTCCTTTACACAGAGCAGCTAAGTTATTAATCAATGCACAAATGGAAGATGGAGATTTCCCTCAACAAGTAAGTCAACTATTTTAATTAAACTATTTACCTCCCTAAGTATTTATAATTCAAATGTTAGAAAAATAATTTTTTGTCCTAATATTTATAGAAAATAGAAATTTCAATTTTTCAATTGTTAATATAAGTATTAATGACCCTTCAAATTTTCACAAGGTGACGGTTTTGATTTATTGACTTATTAACATGACTTTAATTGCTTATAGTTGCAAATTTCCTATACTAATCAAAATGGTTTTTACATCAAAATTGTGAAAGTGATACACTGGAGGGTCAATAATTTTTACATCAACAATTAATAAGGCTACTTTCATATTTTTTGTCTATTTTTCTTTAAATATTTTTATGTTTTTCAAATGCTTCCCTAATATTATACAAATATAACCAGGACATTACTGGAGTCTGTATGAGGAATTGCATGTTGCACTATACTCTATATAGGAGTTACTTCCCATTGTGGGCATTGGCTGAATATCGTAAACATCTGTGGACATCCAAAAATCACTAAATTCAAATCTTATTAAAAATATCATATGTGGAATTGCATGTATCCATTCCACCTCCTTGTTATCATGTAATACAATCTTGTGGTTTGCACTATGTTACTTTTAGAAATAACAATCATTGTATGAGTTTGATTCTTATGTTTGTTATAAACTATACAGACAATATGAGATGTATGATGAAATAAAAAATTAAAAGTTGGTATTGTAATATGTTTACTATTTTACGCTCTTAATTACTATCTTTGGAAGCATAGGGTGCTATGGGGATTCTTTGCAAGCATGATTAGTTAATAATGATTCTTGAAGCTATAAAAACCTTACCTAACCAGTGTTAGTTATCAGGGTTTGTTGCGAAAAAAATAAATTTGTGGCTCAAAATTGGTCTTACTATATGGAGTAAAAGACATTTTTGGTCCTAGATTTATAGTGGCTTGGACAATTTTAGTCCTTTATAAAAAAATTTGCCATTTTATGGACATATCAGAGTTATTGTGGCGAGGACATTTTTGGTCCTCCGTCTATATTTTTGTTAGATAACCGTCTGAGAGATGGGTAATTACGTCAATTTAGGCTATCTCCTTCTATCTATTATATCTATGTGTGTTTTGTTTTCTTCTCGGTCATAATTCGAAGGAGTCGGAGGGTCCAAGTTGCAGTAAAGGCATGGTTGTGGGCAGAGCATTTCGTAGTGCAAAACTACAAATAAATGAGGGTCAGAGTAAAGGCATGGTTGTAGGACCAAAATCGTCCATCTCACAATAAAGAGATAGCCTAAATTGACGTAATTGCCCCTCTCTCATACGGTTATCTAACAGAAATATAGACGGAGGACCAAAAATGTCCTCGCCACAATAACTCTGTCCATAAAATGACAAATTTTTTTATAAAGGACTAAAATTGTCCAAGCCACTATAAGTCTAGGACCAAAAATATCTTTTACTCTACTATATGTTATCTCACCACTCCACTTGCAGGTTGTTTCTCTCATAATATTTTGTTTCTCCAATCCCATAATTTGCTACATTCTCTTGCTATCATTCATTTCGTTCATATATTCCTATAGGCGGCCTTGATAGTTTTTGACTTCAAGAGTTAATTTCTGAAAACTATCGAGACAAGTTATGTTGAAATCTTAATAACAAATTAGTCAACATACACTTTAGTTCAAAGTTAATGCTGATGGATTTAATTACCCGGGGTAGGTCCGAATCACTAAACCCGATAAAGAACGTATTATGAAAATAGTTAAATAGATGAAACGATGTCGTAAGGTCACGGAGACCGTATATTGTATTACAATAATAGGCAGTCTGTTACAACGATTCGTTATGACAAAGTAACTAGAATATATTGAACATGCATGTCCTGTCTAACTTAAATATAAGCTATTTCTACAAAGGAGATCCCCACCAATTAGTGCTAAATTTGGGGTGGGCTACGAGGCTAAGTCAGGCCCATACAGTGGGCCACAAGACTAAGTCAAAGCCCATCATTCCGGGCCTGAAGGCAGCCTCCAAACTTGAGACTCTTCTTGGGCTACTCGGATTATACATTCCCGGACCCCGGGTCTCTATTATTATTGGGTCATTTCCAATGTATCCATCATCAGTCCCCGCCTCTCTGAGTTGCGAGAAGTCGACACGAGAGATAGTAAACGGTTGGCCCAATTGAAACTACTCGGGGTTGCATGCTTGGATGAATGCTTCAGAGTCTACTGGAAAAAATATTTTGCTTATTCCAACGCATTTTAAGCTTTTAGCTTTGTGATCAGAGTTTTCTCCGTTCGAGAGCGGGTCTTTCGGACGACGCGGGGTCGTTTATTAAATTTTTGCTCGCATGATTTTGTTTTGTTTTGTTTTGTGTGTTTTTGTTTTGTGTTTTTTTTTTTCTTTACGTAGTATGTAGTTATTTGGCCAAGGGTATTCTCGGTCCAAATACTCATCTGTCGAGTGGTAAATGAGGTCGGACCTCGTGCCGCCTTAGAGTGGTAGCCCTTCGACCCGAGTCATTTGACACCGGGTCGTTAGGCTCTTCCGTTGGGGTTGGTACACGAGGTCGGACCTCGTGCCCCCTTAGGGTGATAGCCCTTCGACCCGAGTTATTTGAGACCGGACCGTTAGGCTCTTCTGTCGGGGTTGGTACCCGAGGTTGAACCTCGTGCCCCCTTAGGCTGATAGCCCTTCGACCTGAGTCATTTGACACCGGGATGTTATGCTCTTCCGTCGCGGTTGGTACGCGAGGTCGGATGTAACACCCCGTGTTACGGCCTCTAACCCAAATTAATTATTTAATTGCTTACCCTAAAAAGAGAATTAAAATCCATTAATTAACTAGGAAGGGTCCACCATAGACCATAGACCCTTATTCCTAAACCAAACCCTTAGTCCTATAAGAAATAGAATTAGTAAATCCATATCATTCAGACCCTAAGTAGGACTCTCAGATATATAAAAGGACATAGGAGGCACATAGAACTCACACCACAATAACTCTCATCACACAAGAATTCCCAAGAATTCCCATAGGAGAAATCAAGAAGAAGAGATCTTAAAGAAAGACTCTTTATAGCCAATGATTCTAATTAAGGCTAAGAGGTAACCCATGTCTCAACAAAACCTATTTTCTTTGCTATAATCTCCTTCCTTGGCTTCTTCTCTATGCTTGTGTCTTGATAAATCGTTTATGATGATGATGATATGATCTTGATGATTGATGAGATGATTTTATGTATTGATCTTGATAATCTTGATGATTATGGGAGAATCTTGATAATTGTGTGATGTTCTTGATAAATCTTGATGTTCCTGATTTTAAAGATAAAGTATGATTTTGTGATTTAAATATGATTAGAGCCCTAGGTTTAATCGTGAATTTCGTAATGTGATATTCTAGGTATATTTGGGTGGGAATTCGCATGTTCGGGTGTTGATTATGTTTAGAAGTCATGTTAGGATGTGTTCAATGTGATTCTTGGTTTTGATCCGTTATTTGACTACGTGGTGTTGTCGTTTGCGTTTAAAGGTGTCTAAACATGGTTTCGGGTTTCACAAAAGATCCCGGGACCCAAGTATTGAAAAAGAGTCAGTGGGGGGTAGGTGGGGGTAGGGGAACCCGCCACCTACCCGCTGCCCCTAAGGGCGTCGCTGGCAGTGGGCAGCCGGCGGGCAGGCGACTGCCCGTCGGGCACCCGCTGCCCAGTAGACTCGCCGCCGACCCTCGTGGTATCCCAACGGACTCCGTTTATCGTGCCTGAGTCTTGTTTGATGTTTCGAGAGTACCATTCGTAGGATAAAAGAGTCTATGTATTGCATGCTAGTTGAATTGGTGTCCCGTTGGCCTAGGTGAAAGATGTATGAACCCCTTAGGACCATTCCTAGTATGTGGATGACCACGCATAAGTTTATTATACGCTTTCTCTCCCCGTTCCCAAAGTGCTAAAGTGGGTTGCATGTGCTTGCTATGTGATATGTGTGCATGATACCCCAATTTGGTTGCGATCAAATTGCCTATACGGGCAGTTGGATGGGTTGAGAACCATACCAACTGTTAACCAGGCCGGTTGCGATCAGTCAGGTATATAAATATTATATAGGGCTGCGGTCCACCGTTTGGTTGCGATCAAACGTTTTACATGAGTTGCGGTTCATAATCTGGTTGCGATCAGAAATACACTTTTGGGCTGCGGTCCACTGTTTCGTTGCGATCAAACATTATGATGAGCTGCGGTTCATCGGTCAGTTGCGATCGACCCCTTGTGCTGCGGTACAGGCAAGGTGCTTCGGGGCCATGCAGAGCTATATGCACTGGCGCTTCGTGTATGGGCGCGTGAAGGGTCCTGCGGCACCACCAAAGTGTGTTTATGTGATTAAGTTGATGATTGGATAACGATATGAATAACGTGAAATAATCTTGTGAACTTAGGATATATGCTAGTATCTTTATATGCATGATTATATCTATTGAATGTGCTTGTCCCTACTTATTGAGTCTATTCCTAGTTTTAAAGCTAGGGTCTCCTAAGTATATATCTTCCGGCTTCAAAATGGTTTTCCTATATCTATATCTATATATACGTATATTGTATTTTAACGCGTTGGAGTGGGTTACCAACATTATTCGCTGAACAGATATATTTGGCTTTCAGATACAGATGAGTAGACTCCGGAGCGCGCTAGAGAACCAAGGCGTAGATAGATAGTTTTCCTTTCGGCCTGCGTGCCATGATGATGTATTGACATTACCTTGAGGATATTTAGTTAGTATGGCCTGTGCATCTGAGTTCTCCAGCTCATATGTGGCATAGCACCCCAAACCCTGATGTTTAGTATGCTCTATTTCGGTATTAATAATAGTATTACCTTTATTATATAAGTTTTAAAAAGTTTCAAAAATCTGGGGTGTTACATCGGACCTCGTTCCCCCTTAGGGTGATAGCCCTTCGTGTAACACCTCCAAAACTAGACAAAAGTTAAAGCATTCAAACTTCGAAGATAAGTAAAAAGTCTATTCATCGTAATAACAAACTATGAGGAAGCTAACTGTTAAGTCAGGGAGTGCTATGCCACATCTAGATCCTCCAAACCTAAATGCACAGGCTTAAACAAAATCCACTATCCATAAAGTCAATTGTCTACAGAAATGGGCTCATAGGCCAACAAAGACTAAATACTAATAAAGGAAACTAAGTATAGGAAGACGGGCTCTAACTAGCGCTCTCTCGAACTGACTAGACTGCACCTGAACTCATAAGGTTAAGCAACCCAACTCCAACGCGTTGAAATACATATTCATATACTTTATAGGATCTGAACATGCGACAGCGGCGGTGGTTAGAACTCATAAAAGATTATGACTTGGATATTCAATACCACGAAGGGAAGGCTAATGTTGTGACAGACGCGCTAAGTTGAAAAACGAGTCACTTCCTCAACACCGCGTGGGTTCTGTCAGACGAACTATGTAGGGAATTCCAGAAGTTAAATTTAGAAAAAGTGGAACAAGGACGAACGGACTCGGAAATCCAACTACTTAATCTCAAGATCATACCCACACTATTCGAAGAAATCAAAGCCGGACAACAGCAGGATCCTGAGCTGGAGAAGATCCGACTTGACCTGGCCCAGGGAAAGGACGAGCCGTTCAAACTATCTAATGACGACAGCCTCCGCTATAAGGAAAGATGGTGCATACCTTCAACACACCCCCACCTAAAATGACAAATCCTAGAAGAAGGGCACAGTTCACCTTACTCCGTGCACCCTAGAGGCGATAAACTATACCAAGATGTGAAGAAGTTGTTTTGGTGGCCCAACATGAAAAAGGAAGTAGCAGACTTCGTGAGCAAATGCCTGAACTGCCAAAAGGTAAAAGCCGAGCGGTGCAAGCCCAAGGGACTCGTATAGCCCCTCGAAGTGCCCCTAGGAAAGTGGGATTCTATATCAATGGACTTCGTAAGAGGTCTACCCGCGACACCCACAGGGAAAGACAAAATCTGGGTAATAGTGGATCGACTGACCAAAACAGCAGGATTTATTGCCATGAAAGAGACATGGACAATGGCACAACTAGCCAGAGCCTACCTGAGTAAGGTAGCCAAATATCACGGAGTCCCCCGAAACATCATTTTTTATAAGGATCCCAGATTCCTCTCACAATTCTGGAAATCCCCGCAAATGGCCATGGGAACAAGACTAAATTTAAGCATCGCCTTTTACCCCACTACTGACGGCCAAACAGAGAGGACGATCCAAACCCTCGAGGATATGCTGAGAGCCTGTATGCTAAACTTCCAGGGAACATGGGAAGAACACATAGACCTAATCGAATTCTCTTACAACAACAGCTATCACGCAAGTATCTGTATGGCTCCCTACGAGGCGCTATATGGTCAGAAATGTAGGACTCCCATATGTTGGGAAGACATGGTCAATCCAGTAACTATGGGGCAACAATATCTACAAGACACCATAACAAAGGTCAAACGCATACAAGAAAGAATGAAGGCTGCACAGGACCGCCAAAAGTCCTACATCGATCTAGGTAGGAAACAAGCCGAATTCTCCACAGGAGAGAAAGTTTGGCTAAAGATTTCACCCACTCGGGGAGTGATGAGATTTGCAAAGAAAGGGAAGCTAAGTACTAGATTTATTGGTCCCTACGAAATCCTAGAAAAATTTGGGAACCTGGCTTACCGCCTCGCATTACCCGCCGAACTAGAACGAGTGCACAATGTATTCCACGTGTCGCATCTAAAGAAATATATACACGACGCAACCCACATATCACAACCCGAAGTCATGTGCTTGGATGATGCCCTGTCCTACGAGGAAGAGCCTGTAAAAATCATGGACACAAAGACAAGAGCAACTCGCCGGAAGACCATAGATATGCTTAAAGTCCTCTGGTCCAACCACGTGACCAAGGAAGCAACATGGGAGCTCGAAAGCGCCATAAGAGAACGCTACCCCAAACTATTCGCACAAGGTAACTTAGACTAAACCTTAGGTCAAGAAAGGATGCTCGACCCCGTCACATCTAAGCATCGGGGACGAAGCTTTCTGTTAGGGGGGAGGGTGTAACACCCCGTGTTACGTCCTTCAAATCCGAATTAATTATTAAATTAATTCCGCTAATTAAAATAATTAAAAGAGATTTAATCCAATTATAATTCCCTTAATTAACCTAGGTGGTCCACGATGAATCGTGAACCCTTACCTGAACCAGGAACCTTAAACCCACAGGGAACAGGAAAAGCGGGCCTTGTTACTCAGACCTTGAATAGGTTTCCCATAGACGTATAAATAGGAGATTAGAAAACAGATAGAACCCTTCCTCTCCCTTCCATCACACGAAATCACTCGCAGGAACCCCAGCCGAGGAAATCCCCCACCAGCTAGCCTAGGAAGATCAATTGTAGAAAGAATCTTAGAGAAGAACCTTAGTAGCTAGGGATATTGGTTAGGGCTAAGAGGTAACCCATGTCTCGAAAGCATGCCAGGGTTCTAACTGCACCGTTACCGGGGAAATAATGCTTTAAAGGTAGTGTTATTATAACACGGCACAGATTTCCCTTTAGCCATACACCCGTTGTGTACGTGCTTCTTAAAAGGCTTCTAGATCGCGCCTTGACATTGCGACTATATCTAACAGTGCAAACAAATATATGCAACAAAAAAAAACTTATTGAAAAGTTAGGCATAGATTGAGCCACACATTTCAACAAGACTTCCTTACCAGCCTGCGATAACAATTTCTTATTCCAGGACCCAATTCTCTATCTGATTTTATCCTCAATATACGAGAAAATTGTCTTCTTATTTCTTAAAATAAAAGAGTGGAGTCCCAAGTATTTACCAAAATTAGGAGCCTGAACCACCCCTAAGATCTGCGCCACTTCCTCCCTATTTGCCGCACATGTATTCTTACTATAACATATACTGGATTTGTGATAGTTAACCACCTGCCCAGAAAAATTCTCATAAACAGATAATTTTTTTTTTTATCTCACCAGCCTCCTGTGCATTGTCTTTGAAAAATAAGAAACTATCATCAGCAAAAAATAAATGAGAGATGGGGGGAGCACCTCTTGCAACTCTACATCCATGAATAGAACCACTACTTTGTGCCTGCTGTAATAACAAAGAAAGTCCTTCTGCACAAATAATGAAAAGATAGGGGGATAATGGATCCCCCTGCCTTAAACAACGGGTAGGCGTGGCCTAAGCAATGCGAGTGCCATTCACCAAAAAGCTATAAGACACAGTAGTAACACATAGCATAATTAGCTCCACCCACCTACTATCGAAACCCAGAGTCAATAGCATGCCACGAAGAAAAGACCACACCATGCGGTCATAGGCTTTAGCCATATCCAACTTGAGAGCACCCCAGCCAACAGCCCCACACTGTTTTCTATTCAAATAATATCGCACCTCAGCAGCTATTAGAATATTATCTGTAATAAGTCTATCAGGTATAAAGGCACTCTGTGATTCCGATATAATTTCATCCATCCGCGGCTTCATCCTATTTGTAATCATCTTAGCCAAACTTTATATTATTACCCACGATGAATACCAAAATATGGTAATTAGTAATAATTAAAACTTAATAAACATGTTATAAACCCAAAATGAGCTATAATTATTATTTAAATATCAATCAAAATGGTGGGATCCATACTTTAATGGCCCAAGATAGATCCCAAATAGCTTGTTTAGAATAGGTTCTAAAGTCCTAGAGACACATAAAACTAAAATGTGCTCAAAATTAAAGGGAAACCAAACAAGCTATTTTAGTAGGTCATAATACCTAAAATTTTGACCTAAGGATTCAAAATTAATGATATTTAATAATGAATTTATATATTACAAGTTAATAATATGCTAAATCGATTCTTAAAACATGATATTCTAAATGCATAATTATAACAATAAAATGATTATAAATACACATAGCATGCTTGGATTTGCATATTAATATATTATTACCTCATATATAAATTATGATACTTGAGACAATTTAATATGCACCTTAATATTAAATTAAAATTCAAACAACAAATTATTAAAAAATTTAATTCCAGCAATGGTCCTCCGACTATATTTATTTTCCAAAATTAGTCCCCGACTTTTAATTTGGACACTTTACATCCCTTGCCTTTCAATTTCTTTTCAATTGAGGTCCTTTCGTCAAATTACGGTAAAATAGACATTAAATGAAAGAGTAAAGTAGACATTTCATCTGCCTAATGTATAATTCTTCGTATTTCTTCCTTGTATACGCGACTTCGGGCATCAGATTCACTTAATTGCTTAATCCCTAATGGAATTTTGTTCTTTGAGTGGATTTAGGGATTAAGAAATTAAGTGAATCTGATGTCCGAAGTCGCGCATTCAAGGGAGAAATACGAAGAATTATACATTAGGCAGATGAAATGACTACTTTACCCTTTTCATTTAAAGTCCAATTTATCGTAATCTAATGAAAGGACCTCAACTGGAAATAAATTGAAAGTCAAGAGACGTAAAGTGTCCAAATTAAAAGTCGAGGACAAATTTTTTAAAAACATCTAGTCTCCGCAAGAAGTGTTAAGAAGGCTTCAGCATCAAGTGTTTCCATTTCCTCAGGGATATCAGTTTGAATGTCGTGCTCCCTTCGACTGGAGACGTCATGTCTTGCACTTCCGGTTTGCCATCACGAGCTGATTTTGGTGTCTAGTCGTTTCGACCGTTTAGGGGATAGTATCGATCAGTAGGAGGAATCATCACGATTTTTCCAATGATGGGAGATCTTTCGATGTCATCATCATCATCATCATTAGAATCATCGTCACTGTCACCATCATCGCTATCATCACCGTAGTTATGTTCCTCATTATTATCTCCATCTTCATTGTTATCCTCAGCAATGCCATCCTCTTCCTCAGAGTTCTCATCTGTACTGCTTTCATCTTCATCTGCTTCATAGTCGTCATTTCGTGGTGTATTCTCTCGTTCAGTTTTATCAGGGTGATGATCCTCAGATTTCTGATCATTTGGTTCAACTGGGAGTGTGCTATGAGAACCATCATCTTTCGTGCCACTAGTGCTGCAGAAAGGATCATTCTTGTATAGATTTTCAAGCTCCATTTTAATCTTGGACAATCTCATAGCATCCCGTAAATCCTTCATTTATGCCTCGAAGACCGAATCATCAAGCGGGGGTTTCTTGATATCGAGACTGATCGCAGCTTTTCCTTTCGCAATGCTATGATTTGTGATCTTGTATGAATACGCCCGAGTGATTTTTGTAAGCATGATGGCCTCGTAAACAACCTTCGTGCCAATCCATTGTAAGGCAAAATCTTCCTCTTCTTTCATATCATCAAGTTTGGCAAGAAAGAGATCGAGAGAAGATGTACGCCATTTCTGCCATCTCAGAATGCGTTGATATTCCTCAAATATGGCCTGTCGAAGTAGTTGATCTTCTGATGGGGGTGGAGCTTGCATTGTCTCATTGTTTTCTTCTTTCATCTCTTCTAGCAAGTCAGGTAATCAGTGGAAGAAGGGTGTTGTGACAACCCAAAATTTAAGCACAAGCCTCACGCATGTTAAGCACAGGTCTCACGCATGTTAAGTACAAGTCTCACGCATGTTAAGCACAAGCTTCACGCATGTTAAACACACAAAAACACACGCACATTAAGTTTTAAAAACAACTCACATTAAGTACACACTCACGCACATTAGCCACAAGACTCACGCACATTAATCATCTGCACAACCGCATGGGAAACACTTAAATGCACCTGAACATGAACACACACACACACACACACACACACACACACACACACACACACACACACACACACACACACACACACACACACATATATATATATATATATATATATATATATATATGTATGTATGTATAATAAGGATCAAATAAAAAGCCTCATTAGGTAAAAAAAAAAAATAGGGTTATGATATAGTAAATATGGGTATATGTAGAGTACTGAAGCTCGGGATTCCAAACAGTGAGTCGGGAGGCTCTGGTTCAATTAAATGCCAAAAGTCCCTCTCCAGTTGCAATAAATACCCTATTTATGGGAAGAGGGGGGAACAGGCCCCGGAAACCCCGCATGGCTACCACTTGGTGAGCATGCACCGGTCACCTCTGAGGTGGTGTAACATCCCGCCACCCGGCGGTGCGTGCCTGGCGAACCAAGGGATACGAGGCCAGACACATGGCGCCAAGTTACAAAGACCGGGAATAGCCCGACCCCCTCATCGTGGGATCACCGTCCGGGCTCGGGCTAGGGGGCTAGGCGCGGCAGTTAAGTGTTTCTCGTGCGGTTGTGCGAGTGATTAATGTGCATGAATTTTGTACTTAATGTGCGTGAGTCTTGTGCTTAAGGTGAATGATATTTGTGCTTAATGTGCGTGAGTATGTATTGCTTATTGTGCGTGAGTTTTGTACTTAAGGTTCGTGACTCTTGTGCCTAAGGTGCATGAGTTTTGTGCTTAATGTGCGTGTGTGTGTACTTAATGTGAGTTGTTGTGTGAGTTGTTGTTGAAACTTTAAAGTGCATTAGTTTTGTGCTTAGTGTGCGTGAGTTTTGTGCTTATGGTGCGTGAGTCTTGTGCTTAAGGAGCGTGAGTTTTGTACTTAATGTGTGTGAGTGTGTACTTAATGTGAGTTGTTGTTAAAACTTAAGGTGCGTGAGGGTTGTGCTTAAGATATGTGACTTTTGTGCTTAAGGTGCGTGAGTTTGTGTTCTGAATGTATTTTGTTTATGTGTTTAATTTGCGTGTGTTGTGTACTTAAAGTGTGCCAGTGTAATGCTTAATGTGAGTCCACCCGCACAACACCACACGCACCTGATCCCTTCCCTATATATATATATATATATATATATATATATATATATATATATATATATATATATATATATATATATATATATATACACACACACACACATATATATATATATATATATATATATATATATATACACACACACACATATATATATATATATATAACCCATCTAGATGAGAAATAGGACGTAATATTGACCACTAGATTTAACAACTTAATGGTTGAGATTTGATAGTAAGATTTTATGGAATTTCCTTTAAAAAAAATAGATTGTTTTAATATTATTATACGCATACTAAGGGTAAAGATGCAAATCATGTAATAGCTTGTGCAGTGTTTATTCTTCAACTTATGCAATCTTCGTCTTTTCCTGCGTACTCAACATGTAGATGCAAACTCCAACCGAATCGACGAAAATTTTTTGCAGACGGCGATGTGAGATGCAAACTCCGGTGAGGCATGGTTGGATCAAGGCAGAGAGAAAAAACGATGGTGAGGGGCAAGGACTCATACAGAAAGTAAAGGCATGTTTTTTTTTTAAAAAATTTCCATTCATCTGGCGACGGTTGACCGCACAACACAGGTTAGGGTCACAGGCGCAGACGGCAGTGTGCCGACGGAACTTGTGTCTGGTTTTTTGGGGTTTGACGTTGGGTGGGTAGACAGCGATGGGGTTCGACCCAAACTAGGGTTCAGCCGTATATGGTGCGCATTGGGTTTTACATAGATTGGGGGTTTAGTCATTGGGTGGGTACACGATGGCGGAGTGTGCTTTATTGCTAAAAATTTTGCTTCTTTGCGTAATCCTAAAAATTTTGCTTCGTTTCTTAGGATAGCCTAATCCTTAAAAATTTTCTTTGTTGCTTACACAGACAAAGAGCAGGAAGACATGTCTTCCACACAACACACCAACCCTTATGTTATTGTATGTTGCAAGAATGCACACACAAATTGGGCATAGTGCACAGGGAAAATTATTTTAGGTGCACACTTACCAAATTGCAAAAGTGTACTAGCATGCACAAGGCTGAAGTTTAAAGTGCACACTGTTCATTATGCACATGCAAACCAATACTCCAAACACATGGGACTTGGTTTCTATATTGTGTGCACATTGCAGGGCAGTAAGATGCACACAGGCACTATACTATGTGTCTATGTGCACAGTAAATAATTGGGCACACGAACCCTCATGTTATTGTAGTTTGCAAGAGTGCACACACAAATTGGGCATAGTGCACACGGGCAATTGTAGCTGCACATTTACCAAACAGCATAGGTGAACTAGCTTGCACATGACTAATCATTAAAGTGCACACTGCTCATTACGCATGTCCACACAAGTACTCCAATCCAAACATAAGGCACCTGATTTCGTTATGACGTGCACATACCAAGACAATAAGATGCACACTGGCACATTACTATGTGCACAATAACTACTTTTAAGAATTGAATTCACAGTCAACGTAACCAACCCCATGCTATTTTATTTTGCACGGCTGCACACACAAATTGGGGTTGATGCACATTGTTTTTGTTTATTGTTCCTAATATGTATCCAAACGAGTTTGCAGGTTATTTTTCTTGATACTCCAAAGCGACACTACTATGTAATTAGCATGGACCTAGTAAAGATGAAGATAGAGGCCATTGCACACCAAACGACAAAAAGTATGGTACCATCCCAGTGTACTTGGTAAACATAAACCACCATATTGTACACATCATTATCAACGCATAAACCACCATATTGTACACATTATTATCAACTTATCCAACTATGTAACTAAGTTGCGCAGTTCTTTATTCCCATTGATATGAACAAAATGACCTTCTATCCTCATTCTTAGATGATGAAGAGGAATTTGAAAAGGGTGCCGACATAAAAAGGATCGTCCCAACAAGAATGCAAATGCCATGGAGGGACACCAAAAACAAACTTGTCTATTTTTTTTTCCCTACCACACGACCTCATTTTGTCATTGAAGTAGACATTTTTAAAGCAAACTTTGAGTTTGGATTACTTAGTAATGGTTTATTTTGGGTATAATGTATTAATTACTGGGGATGATAATAGTGGGCGTGGAACATGCTTGAGTAGTTGTGCACACGTATTTTTGTAACCCACACGTATGTTTTGGTAGTCATGTAGATTGGCCCATGAAATCATACCTCGTTTACTTTGCGTGCACCCCAAATGAGTATGTATGTCACACGGTCTATAACTGGGGTGCACACACCCACTAACTTTGCAGCATTCAAGTTTAAACTAACATGCACACCCTACCACAAGTAGGTGCACACAGATGATAAAAATGGGATGAAGACATCCACTGACTTTACAGCACAGGAGTTAACATCAACATGCACACCTTGACCCAAGCTGTCTTCAAAGAGGAACAAGTAACAAAGCAACACTATGGTTCGTATGACTATGTACGGGACACAGTCCAATTCACGGGTGCACACACCCACCGGCTTAACAACACACGAGTTTTAACCCACATGCACACTCTACCTCAAGCAAGTGTAATCACAACGCTAATAGTAATTCGTGGGAAAAAAATACGACATTCATAGAATAAGAATCGGTTTAAATTATTGAGATGAAACCACAGATTTAATCCAAGTCTCATAAAATACAAAGTCAAAAAAAAAAAAAGGAACAATTAACAAAGAAAACTACCGCCTTTGCAGGCAATTACAGCCTATTCGTAGGCCTACGCCTCTTAGGAGATATAGAAGAGCCATCAACTCCCTCCCCCACTGGACACACCTCTGTGACAGGTTCTTTAAATCCTTGATGAGAACACACCAATATTTCCTCAACACCTCCCCCCGCTTATTCTTCGAATCCGTATTATGACGAACATCAAACCCAATAGTAGAAACATTGCGAACACCTTACCAATACTTTGTACATCGGCGCCCAACACCCCGGAGAAATATTCATGAGACACCCACAAGAGTCATCAGAAAAATCTTCAACAACACCAACAGATGTTGGCACAAGATAAAAACATTACGAATGCACAACAGTGTGAGCACTTTAGTTGACAACTATGTGCACTTGAAAACACATAGAAAAAAAAAAAAGGAATGAATACAAAGCTGTGGAAAAATGCACAAGAATGAAAAAAAATTTGGTAAAAAAATTACACAACCTCGAAATTACAATTCCACAAATCAAACTACCCTACAAACAATACACACACACACACAAAGACCCAAAAACTAACGGAACCCATGATGATAGAAAACATATGCACACAACCTGTTAGGAATAAATTGTAAATTT